TTTCCGAATTCTATTTCACCGACAAATACCATATTTAGAACATTTTTCTCCTTTTCGATTTTTCAACAAGATATCTGGTCCTTTTTTTCTCCTAGATATCTGGGTCACTGGCAATATTTGATAAAATTCGAAACTGGGATTATAAGAATTAATAAAAAAATTTTATTTTAAGAGGTATACGAATTTGGTGTTTTTAGTAAATTTGCCACAAATAAATAGATATATAGATATATTAAATAGATATGTTTGCTTTAAATTTCAAAAAGAAATTTTTCTTAAAATTAACTTTTTTTGAAGTTCTATAAAAATTGCTGAAAAATTTCCTTTTTGACTACAAAGGAGGGAAATTTGAAAGAGGATATTTAAACCAAAAATGTTTATCTATTTATTTGTAGCAAGTTAATTGAAACACGAAATCCGTGTCACTCAAAATAAAAATATTTTATTGTACCTATTGAAACATAGTTTTTGAACCTTTTGTTGGTACTTCAACCCATGTCTTGGGGAAAAAAGGATTGCTCAGCATCAACAGCTCAGCATCTTCAAATTAACCTAACACCATTGAAAAATAAAAAAAATAATTTATATGTACATTCTTAATAACTAAAATAAAAAAAAATTTATTGTTAGAAAAGTTCGAATAGCAGAGACAAGACAAGAACAAAAATTTAGTTAATCAATTAAAATTTGGCTAACCACACAACACTGTTTCGAGTAAATATTGGAATTTCTTTTAATTAGTTTTATTTTAATTAATTTTAATTAGGTTCCAAGTGTCAGGCTTAGAAAACCTACAGTCGAAACAAATTATATACGGACTATAAACTAATTAAAATAAATTCGATTATTTCCTAAGACCACTGATGATGAGTACTTGGCAATACTCGAAACAGCGTTCTATAGTCAGTCAAATTTCAATAAATTAACAAAATTTTTGTTGTGGTCTTTTTATGTCTTTTCGAACTCTTTCAACTTTTAAATAGTTTCTTTTCGTCATAAGACACGTCACTCTCGGCAAGAAAAAAATAACATTAAAAAATATTACTGTTTTTAATGATAACATGACAGCTAAGATTACATGTCATTTTATATGTCACAATTGAAGTGGAGAATTAGAAGAAAGAAAATAATGTATCCAACGATGTCATTTTAACAGCTTTATATTTCTGATTTCTGATAAATTGTATTGCTCATCTCAACATATTAATTCAAATTTATTTTTATTTAAATATAAATTTTATATTTAAATAATTATAATTAAAAAATATATTATTCTCAAGCTTCATTATATCGTAATTGTTCTTAATTATTAATTACGTTGTTCTAATATTTTGAATTTCGTTCCAAAAAATAATAAACCCTTAAATATATACATTTAAAAAAAAATTTCCTAATAGTTCTCATAACTAAATTTAAAACAATGACGTGAAATTTTTTTCTAATAATTTTTTAAAATATTGTTCAGTTTTAACTAAAATAATTATAATAATATTAAATTCTGAAAGAAAATAATTTCTATTTTAATAATTAATTTTATAATTATGTTTTTGAAATAAATAATTTTTTGTGTTTTATTTTTAGTAAAATAATTATATAAAAAAATTTTTTTTCTATTAAAAATAATTATAAATAAAAGCATAAAATTTTTATGGCAAAAAGCGAATCCTATTTTGTTATTAAATAATTGCTAAATAAATATAGTAGAATTGAACATTTATATATTATATATAGCTACAATAAATTTAAAAAATAAATTGAGATATATTTTTACTTAATCGCTGTTAGAAAAAATTATGATATATAAATTTAAAACTAACAATTTAAAATTTTATTAGACTAAGCCTTTAACTTCCTAAACAAAAATACGTTTGAAAATATTTAATATAATTTAATGATATATATGGAATTTGTTTTTATAATAAAAAAAAATATTTATATTTTATATTTAGTTTATAATGAATATTTCGTAGGTTAAAAAAAAATTTTTATATAAATTTTTTTAATTTTCTAAACTAATAATTTATATAATTTTTATAAGTATTTTATTATTGTAATTTAAAACGTAATTTTTTAATGAAAAACATTTAACAAATACTGCAAGGAAGTATTGGCATTCTGCAAAATTAATTCAATATAGAAATTAACAAAATATCTATAGTTATTTATTTTAAAAATATTTTTTTTAAATATTATTTTTTGCACTTAAAATGTTTATTAATTTGTTGATTAAAATTATTTGCACAGCCAAATGCAGCAAAAAATAATTCGAATATAATGATTATATTATATATAAAAAAAATTATAATAAAATAAAGAACTTGAAAAAATAAAAGAATATTTATAAAATGCATAAGTGCATTGTTATAAATTAATATTATATATAAAAACAACGGCTTTAAAAATAAAAACAAATCCAATAATTGGTGTCCAAAAAGCAAAATATATACACCACAAAATAAAATGAGTTTTTTAATATTTTTATTTAAAATCTATCTAAGATGTATCAACTGAAATCTTCTGACGGTGAAGATGCCATCTATGTACAGTACGTATTAAAATATTTATATTGTTTTCTAGCGATCAGCATTTCTGTCTGTTGAATATGTTATTGTTGTACTTTTTAAAAGGTGTTTAAGTTAAATAATTTGTTATTATTTTTGTAAGATTTATATTTTTATAGATGTTATTTAAAAATTAAAAAAGCAGATAACAAAATGCATTTGTAGTCCAATAACGAAAAAAGTTCAGTTAAATATCTTGTGCCGTGCCTACGCCATACAATTATCTGGAGAGGACATATAATAAAATCGAACCAAAAGCGTCTACTTAGACAAAGTACGTTTCTGAAACATGAGCCAAGTTATTTCCGACTAATGTTCCACTCATCATTATTCCACTCTTGAACAGAAGATTATCCAAACGAACCCGTCTCTTTTCACACTTCCTATATCTAACCATATCTCCAACTATGTATGATTGTATTTATGTATGATTCTTTTCATGTTATCTGCCATATAGATCTACACGGGTTAGCACAACAAGCATAGAAAATAAAGTTAAGGTCTATAAATCTATTCTGATACTGCTTTCAGTCGAAAACAACAAATCGAAGTTCTTGATAACCATTTAGATCTATATAGTGAAACGAATTACAATGCATGGCTTAGGTGAACGTAAAGAGGGGTTATTTGAGATAAGGAAGAGCTGAGGGCGTGGGTAGGTCTTTGTCGAAACTACTCTAGGTCAACGCGAGCCATCAATTTCACTAGTTCTTAGTCATTTATCAATAGAACACTAATTATTGTGTCCATAGGGTAGCACAAGTGATAGACGATGTCATGGAGAGTTGAGCTCTAGTTATGGCACACATTGGGATTCGATATATTTATACGTGACAAGTAACTATTTAGTTAGACTACACATGTGCTAGCGTAATGATTTTACTTGCTTGGGGAAGGCGTTTTTTTTCAATATAAATATGAGGTGGAAGCCTGCTGGAAACTTTGTTGTTGTGCAACCATCGTTTCGAAAGGGACACTACTCCTGTACCAAACCCTCATTTGTAGTCGAACTCACTTATTGCAATAGGGAACCTCTATTGCATAAGATAATCTCTGTTAAAATAGATAATCACTATTAAAATAGATAATCTCTATTAAAATAGATCATCTCTATTGAGATAGATCATCTCTATTGAGATAGAGAGATAATATAGATATAATCTGTAATGAAATAGAGAGATAATATAGAGATAATTTCTATTAAAATAGACAATCTTTATTAAAATAGATAATCTCTATTAAAGTAGATAATTTCTATTGAAATAGATAATCTCCATTAAAATAGATCATTTCTATTAAAATAGAGAGATAATACAGAGATAATCTCAAATGAAATAGAGAGATAATATAGAGATAATCTATATTAATATAGATAATCTTTATTAAAATAATCTCTATTAAAATAGACAATCTCTGTTAAAATAGATCATCTCTATTGAGATAGATCATCTCTATTGAGATAGAGAGATAATATAGAGATAATCTGTAATGAAATAGAGAGATAATATAGAGATAATTTCTATTAAAATAGACAATCTTTATTAAAATAGATAATCTCTATTAAAGTAGATAATTTCTATTGAAATAGATAATCTCCATTAAAATAGATCATTTCTATTCAAATAGAGAGATAATACAGAGATAATCTCAAATGAAATAGAGAGATAATATAGAGATAATCTATATTAATATAGATAATCTTTATTAAAATAATCTCTATTAAAATAGACAATCTCTGTTAAAATAGATAATCTTTATTAAAATAATCTCTATTAAAATAGACAATCTCTGTTAAAATAGATAATCTCTATTAAAATAGACAATCTCTATTAAAATAGATATCTCTATTAAAATATATAATCTCTATTAGAATAGATAATCTCTATTAAAATAGATAATGTCGATTAAAATAGAAAATCTCTATTAAAATATATAATATCTATTAAAATAGATAATCTCTATTAAAATAGATCATCTCTATTAAAATAGATAATCTCTATTAAAATAGATCATCTCTATTGAAATAGAGGGATAATATAGAGATAATCTCAAATGAAATAGAGAGATAATATAGAGATAATCTCCATGAAAATAGATAGTCTTTATTCAAATAATTTCTATTAAAATAGACAATCTCTGTTAAAATAGATAATCTCTATTAAAATAATCTCTATTAAACTAGACAATCTCTATTAAAATAGATAATCTTTATTAAAATACATAATCTCTATTAGAATAGGTATAATTGAAATAGAGAGATAATAAAGAAATCAACTCTATTGAAGTAGAGATTATTGCAATATGTAGCATTAATACGAATACAGAATTCGACGAATCCCTGTTCTCACTCTATCTACTAATCATGCTAAAGCGAAAGAGGCTACGTACCAGTACCTGATATCTAATCTCTGATTAATTTAAAAATGTTTTTAGAGTTTTGAAGATATTTATTTTTTAATTTATATTCAAATAGTTGATTTATTGTTTATGAAAAAAGTTATTTATAAAATTCTAAAACAGATACAAATAAAAAAAAAATTAAACATAAATAGCACAGACTTTACTTAATAAAATATTTACCAACTTTTCGTTAAAGTTTAGTTTTTCTTTTGTTTGTTTTTCGTTTTATTAGAATAAAGAGCATTAGTTAAGTTATATTTGAATAATTATCTGATGTGCTGTTGCTGCTGCACAATCTATCTAAAATAAAGACATTGGAATTTAGCAGCCATTTAGACAAAAAGTGCAGCAGCAACAGCAACAGTATCTTTTTAGAATTGAATGGTTTATATATTTCCTGAATATATATCTATGCGCAGGGATATTATGCGTCATAATTCAATTAATTTGTTTTTGTTTTTGTTTGGATAATAATCTATTAAATCTCTACTCCTCTTCGATAATTTGTTGAATTTGTATATCTTGTTCAGGACGTTGGTTTTGTTGTTGCTTATGATGATGATGTTGATTGCGCTGATTGCGATTACGTTGGTTGCGATTATCGCGACGTTGGTTGTTCCAATTACCTCCCTGGTTGTTTTGTGTACGATTGAAGCCACGTTCACGGTTACCCATATTGCCGCGTTGGAAGAAGTTTCCTTGTTTCATGTCGTAAATCTTTTCATTGACATCCACCAAATTGGTGACTTTATCAACGAACTGCATGGCCAAAGCTTGTAGACGAGTTGGTTCGGATCTATGCATTACAACGGTTTCAGTTGGATCATCAAGACTGGCCATCAATTCCTCATTAATAATCATTTTGCTAATGAGCGAGTGTACCTTTTGCACTGGCAGCTCGTACATTTGCGCCAAGGAAGGTATACTTAGCGATGTATACACATTTGAGTAGGTAAACAAATAAGTGCGTAACGATTCTTCTTTAATGAATTTAACTAACATTTCACGCACTCGATCTGGATCGTAAAATAGATCCCATACTTTTGTGTTCATTTTTTTATTAACAATAAAATTGGCACAAGCTTGCCAATTACCACAGCGCATAGCCTTAGCAGCAGCTACAACGTGTTCACGCATAGATTCTGGCGGTCCAACGAGGGACTGTCTCTCAGAAGAACGCAGTTGTTGATAGAAAGTTTTGCTACAAAATATAATTAATTTTATTATAATTATAAAATTCATTGGTTTTATATTAATGCAACTTACCTAATCATGCGTCTGCGGGCGTCAAACTCGTGTGCGGCAATATATGGAATTTCAATTAACATTGCCGATACAAGATAAACGCACTCCAATAATTCCAGATTAATATGCATATGGAATGGCATTTGGCGTTGCTTTTCAATTTTCTCCTGCTCAGCAGAACGTTCATGTTGTCTTTGTGGCAGTAAACCTTGCGCCAAAAGTTCTTTTGGTTTACCGGTAACCATAAGATCGACGAGACAGTGGTGCGCATCTTTAACATTTTCTTGACGGAAGGCACACAAACCTAAATTAGCCATCATACGATTATACAGTATACGTGTTGAAGGATCAGCAGCATCAATATTATCCTGTAAATGCGACATGAGTACCAAATCACGAGCCTGGAACCAGTTATCATGCATAGCATGATGATAGATGTGTGCCAGAATTGCACGCGTACGTATACGATCAGTATCGTCCTTCGAATATATAAATTTACATAAACGATCCATTTCATCTACTGAAGTCGTAGTACCCGCTGGCAATTCCCCACGTTTGCGCTTCAACACATTTGGATCGAACTTATAGTACAAATGTTCAATTTTCCTTAAATAAATGCGGCAGAGTTCATTGTTGTTGCCTACACGTTCGAAATAATCCAAAACGCTCTCGATTATTTTTGTGACGTTAATCTCGTCCTTTAGCCGCGAGACATAGTCATTAGAGTGTGGATCACATTCTTTTAACAATTTAGTGAATTCATCATCTAATCTTTCCACTGCTGCCAAAGCACAACCGCGTATGTAATACGGTGATTGAGTGAACTCTTCATTTTCCTCCGAAATAGTTTCGCTCATGTGAATATCTTCATTATTAAGCAACTGTTTCATCATACTTTGTATAACTTCAAGTAATTTGGCCCAGTGCTCCAGCTTCATGGGTTCAGATATTTTCTGGTTATAATCAAATATTGCCGATATAATGCTGAAGTTGATTTTAACAGCTACAGCGGTTCCTAATGCGTGTTGGTCAGCAATGTCACGCAACTCAAAAAGTAAATCGATTTGCAAACGTCGATCGGTACGCTTCTTACCACGTGCCGACATGATTTCAGTCAATTTAGTTAACACCAAAGGTATATCAATTTCAGCATCTTTTTCGAACATTTTCGGTTTTTCTACGGCATGTCCTTTTTTAACTGTCTCCCATTCACCTTCTTCATCAGCATCTTCCTCTGGACGCTTACGGCGTAATTTTGGTTCTTTAGAGCGTTTCTCCTTTTTCCTATCTTCACGATCTTCCTTATCGTCTACACCGGTGGTACGCTTAAGGAAACGTTCACGCATAGTTTGATATTGATTTTCATCATCCGTAGATTCAGACTCAGACTCCGAATCCGTACCCCAATCAATCGAATCGTCTGAATCATCTTGATCAGGTTCTACTGTTTTAGTAGGTATAGACTTTGGTGCGACTTTTTGTTCAATCTGCTGCTTTATATCAAGTATGTCATCATCAGAATCTTCTGCCTCTTTGTCTTGTTCTGAATTATAAGCCTCCTCGTCCTCATCGCTTTCTTGGTCAGGTGATTCACGGAATTTCGCTAATTCTTCTTCAAAATCTTTAATATATTTGCGTACCTTTTGTCGTAAGGTACCAAGCGATTTCGAGTTATTTTTGGATAAGTTTTTACGACCTTCCCTGTCCTCCCAGACTTCATTAATGAAATCCTCCAGTTCAGCCAGGCAACGTACATAAAACCTAGGCGTAATACCATTTTCTTCTTTTGTTATAACAGGCAGCGCTTTTTGATGGGCACGTGTTAAATCTTCGAAACTAGTTAATATGCTGGACATATCCTTAATTTTTTTATGATTTCGTATGCTTTTGATGATTGCAGTTAAGTTTTCATAGCGTTTCTCCTTGGTGGAGCGTACAACACGCTTAACTTCTTCTTCATCATCACTGAATTGCTGTAGTTAAAATTATTATAACAATATGGAAATTTAAAATATTTCACAAAACTTACATAGGCAGGAGTTTTACCATAGGCTGTCACTTGTACTTCTTTCTCACTTGACTCAGATTCAGAGTCCGACCCAGTTGCAAAAAAACGTGACATGTTAGTTTTAGGTTGTGCTTATACAAACTTCGAAGTTGTCACCTATAATAGAGAAACAAAAAAAAATATTATTTATATATGAAATGCATTAGAAAGTAATTCATTGAGGTTAAGTTGCATATTTTTGATTGGCCAGCACGCTGCTGACACGGCTTGCCACACAAGCGATTATGTTAATATAAATGGCGAGATATTGTAACGTTAATATAATAATAAATATAAACAAGCATTACTTTTTATTAAGTTTATAAACGCGAATATTATTTTAAAAAATATTTCTGTTGAAATAACTCACAATTTATACCGCAAATAATCTTTTTACTACCTCTTTAGGCTACCGCCTGCGTGAAAGGGGTTGCCAATTGCAAATATTTCATTGAAGAAAATAGTAGCAAAAATACGTATGTAGCTGTCAAAAGTATCTAATGTAAATCAAAATTATTAAAGTTTACAAAATGATTAGGCCGTGTGCGAGTTCTAGTAAATTGAGGTAAAGTATATTGAAATTTCCTAGGGATTATTTGTTTATTTATTGTTTTTGGTTAAAAGGATTCAAGTTTATTTATTTATTAAAATTTACCTAATTTTTATCTAATTACCCTACTCGAAAATCTGATAAATACCAACATTCGCTGCCATACCGACATAGTTCACTATTCACTATTCACCTTCAATTTACCATCAATTTATATAAAATATAAATTTGTGTAAAAATATATTTCTATAAAATATTTTGTTGATATTTCACAATAACAAATATCAACAACAAATTCGCTGTTTCTATTAAATTTTTCATTATTTAAAATACAATAATATTTATACTTAAAATCTAGATATATACCAAATAAAAAATTATTTAATTTTCTGTTTAAATCATATATTATTTGATGAAAACGCTTAAATTTGGCAAATTTCGTTATATTAATAAACATAGAAATATTTCGTGTTCCAATTCCGACTTGGTTCTCCTAGCGTCGTTGCTATCTAGGCTCAGGTATAAAAACATTAAGTTTATTGTCAAAGGTAAATATAAAAAAATAATGATAAAATAATAAATTTTAAAAATCAGTCAAATAAATTAAAGTAATTGTTATCTCATCTTTTAAATTATATGAATTTTCAGCACAAATATCTAAATTCGTTTAAAATTTTGCCGACATTTTCAATCATAAAGGTGTGGTTACAATGAAGCTAATGCAAATTTTTAAATATGAATACAGAGAAAGAATTATAACTGTTATTAATTTAAAATAGAGTAAAAAATAATAATTCACATACCTGAAATCCACTAAAGCTAATAAAACTACTGAATGCTATCCTTTATTGTTATAATAATCAACATCAAAATTTCTCATATACAAATGGTGTTTGGAGCATGTAATTTTAAACATTCGATTTGTAAACAAAAAACATATGATTTACTTAATTTGGGGCAGTATGCCCACCTTCGAAATTAACTTAATTTCGCTTTTATGAAATGAAGGAAATTTGGCTGTCTGAACATAGTATAATATGACTTTATTTGAACTATAATTAATATTAAAAAAGCAACCTTGCGTTTTAAAAAATAAAATCATTTAAATAAAACAATTTTTAAAAAAATATAAAAACATACGACAATACCAAAAAGTACGCAATTTTCATTTCGTAGTGAATTTGAGTACTTTACCTACAGTGAAGTGAAACACTGTCGAGAAAGAGGGAAACGAACAAGACGCAACCAATATAGTGAAAATTTATATAAAAAAAAGTACATATACATATATATTTAATAGGTTTAAGTATTAAACTCAAGACGAAGAGGTAATAATACAACAAACAAATTATGGTATAAACATTTGCTACATCCTTCCCAATGATTTATATTTTACCACCGAAATTGTTGTGTGATTTTAATAAAAAATTTGCTACATTTTGTATGCTTTTTTCTTTTTTTGTATATTTTTGTATTAAAATGTGTTGAACATATATATATAATATTAATAAATGTGACTTCCTTACAGCACACACGGTTTAAAATGGCTACAGAGTCGGAATCGGCTGCAGAATTCTCGGTAGAGCGTATTGAGGACAAACGTGTAATAAACAACAAGGTTGGCAAGTTTTTAATGCTGAAGTAGTCTTCCAAAGTGAAATTAATTTATTGTAAATGTCTTGTTTTCAGGTTGAATATTACCTTAAATGGAAGGGTTATCCAAGAAGTGATAATACTTGGGAACCTGTAGAAAATTTAGACTGTCCTGATTTGATCGCCGCATATGAAGAATCCATCAAGTCCAAAAAAGGTACTATATGCTCTGCATTTGTAACTAACACAGTTTTTTTTTAAACTCAGAACTGCGAATATTAAGATAATGTAATAATTAGAATATTATTATATTATAACACTGATATATTACTTGGGAATAAAATGTTGTAGGAAGTGTAGCCGGTGTCGGTTCATTAAGAATAGTTTTTCACTTAAATTTCACTAACTACTTTCGGTAATGCATTTTTTTTTATATGCAGTATCTCCATATAACATCACAATAATTTAATGTCAATTAAGAAAACTATTTTATTAATAGACCGGCTTTTTAAGTAGTACTAAATATCAACAAAATTATTTATTTTGTTTGAATTTTTGACTAACAAACGATGCAGCAGTTTCAAGTATTGTCAGATATTCACCATCAATGGATTTTCCAAATATTCATTCACTTCAAAAGTCTGTATTTAGTTTGTATCTGTAAAAATGATTAACTTTTAAAAAATCAAAAAAAAAGTGAATTACAAAAGATTTGTGCAGCTTTGGCTCGTTTGGTTAAAACACGTGAAATTATTGCTTCTACTTAGGCTTAGTTTAATGCCGGACATTTGGATAATATACGGATAATAAAGTCCAATAAATAATTAGAAAGGTCACTAATTATAGATATTTGAACGTGTTTAACCCATTTCGGACCACCTTGTGGTGCACCACACGGCTAACTTTGAATATTTTTTAATATTCGAAGAACATTTTATATCTTTTAGGTAAAAATAAATCTCATTTACTAAATAAATCTCATTTACTTAAACCTGTTTTATTTTACTATTTATTTACTATGGAAATTTCACCTTAAAATTCCAAGTCTGAAATTGTCTGGTACTTAATGGGTTAAAATGGTTGTATCATCAACCTGATAGATTGACTTAATTAAAATTTAATTTTTGTAACTTTATTACGTTTTAATCATATATTTGATAAAATTTATACACAAAGAATAAAGTTCAACAAATAATTCCTAAAACTGCTGATAATTGATCAAATAAATTTATTTAATTAAATTTTCTCAAAATTATTGCGTTTCTTATATAGAAAAATGAAGGTGCATCCACACCTGAGTGAAATTTTGAGGTATCTTGAGGCAGGTACCTGCAAAAGTTCATTCGATCTTGAGATCACATTTCTATAAAACATCAACTATCGAGTGTCGCTCACTTTTTGCAACACACTGTAATCAGCTGTGTTCAATTGAGTTCTAAAATTTAGTATTTCGCGATTCGAGCAGCTGAAATTGAGTATATTCGAAATCGAAAACCTATGTTCTGAGAAACTGAGCATATTCTTAAATAGAGCAGTTCAAATGGAACTTTTTCAATGTTCTTGTTTTAAATATTTCGTTGTTTGAGCAGCTCGAATACAGCTTACAGCTTGAATAAAACTTCATATTCAAATTCGAACTCTTTCAATATACTAAAGTTGAGCATTTCGATATAAAAACAGTTTGAGTATATTTCGCATATATGTTTTATGTTCCATAATCATTTTTTTTCTTATACAATTTCTATATTACCATATATATGTTATTAGTCTTGAATACTCAACTGGTCTAGCAGAATATCATCATGTTAAAAGGTCTAATACCAACAGATATTTTCTTGATTATGCTTTTTATTATATTTTTTAAAAAATTAATTTTAAATTAATATTTTTTTTCTTTAATTTTAGATAACAAAAAGCGACCTAATTCAACACCGCTTAACGACTCCAAAAATAAAAGAAAGGTTGTCGAAGATGAACGCGATGGTCGCAAGTGTATGGGATTTGATAGGGGCCTTGAGCCAGCACAAATTATTGGTGCTACTGATACATCTGGAGAGCTCATGTTTCTAATGAAGTGGAAAGGCAGCGAGGAAGCAGATTTAGTGCCTGCCAAGCAGGCTAATGTAAAGTGTCCACAAATTGTTATACAATTTTATGAAGAGCGTCTTACCTGGCATACGAGCAGTAATGATGAAGATAAAAATAATACAGGCAAAGAGAATGCCGATTAAATAACAAGATCAACAAAATCAACTAAATCATCTTAATCTATTAATAAGTAAAATATGCTCATCCGAAGAGCAACCGTTTAAAAAGTATACACAAATATAGTACTCATATTAGCTCCATAACTGCATGAAGATAATAACATCTTCATATATAAATTCTAAGTTATATAAAGGCAATGAAACACTTGACCTTTCGTATTAAATAAAATCAAATTAAAATTAAAAAAAAAAAATTTATTGATTAAATTGAAATTCGTCGATTAAGTAATTTTGAATAAACTAGCAAACAAGAAACAATGAATTTTTTTTTATATATACATATATATTTATATATATATATAAATTTTTTTATAAACTATTTTAAAAGTTAAGTGCCTAAAAATGCTTAGCTTTAAATGATCGATTACCGTTCGAGTTTAAGTAACAATTTAATCAATTTGTAAAAATAATTTTAATTATGATTCCTTCAAATTTCAATATAGTTTAAGATTATTTTTTTTTTCGAAATATAAAATTACATATTTTTTTTAAAATAAATTTTTATATAATCTAAACTTTTGTTATAATTTTTCCATCCAATGTGGTAATTAAATACTAAATTTCATTCCAAACAATGCAATATCGCTTTATTGTAATTTAAACCACAGAAACTTATAAAACTAGTATCTTTTACGTATATTGCTATAAAACGGACAAGTTTCGTTTTTTATACAAAATCCATACAAAAAAAAAACATACTTACTAATGACATTCAATAATTAATTGCAAAGTTAGCAGTTGACTTATTTAACAACTTTAATAATAAAATTGAAAATAATTAAATTTGGAAATCAATTTATAATTTATAAAAAGACTGAAGTGAAAAAATAAAAGTTTATAGATTAGTTTATATTTTTGTTTTATAAAATATATATAACTTTATATTTATATATAAGATTTATATTTTTATAATATATAATACATATATATAAATTTATATATTAATATATATAGGCCTGAGGAAGAAGTCAAACAAACTTTGTAACATCGGCGATAGCTATATAGACAACTATGCAATAATAATAACAACAAAAATAAAAACTAATTAATAAATACTATATAATAATATAAACAAAAATAAACACTAATCTATAAGCTTTTATTTCTACCACTTCATCCTTTTTATTAATTATAAATAAATAATTGAATATTTATTTTAACTATTCAAATTTTAATGGTGTGTGCATATTAAATTTTTTTAATATTTTAACATAAATATTAGATTTATTTTTAACAATCCAAGGTATACGATACATAGATGTTTCTATTATTTTACTTACAATTTAGCGATAAATCATAACATACTATAATTGGTTAAATAAAAAATTTATATGACCCTTATATGAATAACGAGATAATTTTTAAACAATATTTTTTAAACAATTCTTATAATTTCGACTTGGTTTTTCAAATTTTTGGTTCATCATGAGAACAGGATTGGAGATACAAAAAAGCAAAAGGTTTCTAAATATGTACGTCCCGACACGAAGGTCCTGCGCATTTTGTTAAATTTTGTAAAGCTAAACTGTATAAAGCGCGTTCTATAGGTAACCACTCATAACCCATATTTGTCATTTGGAAAGGATCATCATCTACATCATATCCTTCAACAAAATTCTATAAAAACAAAATTTCATAATTAAAATCATCATATGAAAAATATATTTTTTAAACTAACCTCATTATCACGAAATTCACAATACAATCTATTTGTATTGTAACTAAAATGACGTATGCACGCATATGTATTATTCCAAGCATCTTGGCAATGGCAAGCTCCTTCTATGGTACACTCTGTCAACCGATCTTTCTTACTCCAAGGACATTCTGCATTATATGTGTCAACATTGCCCTCACCCCAGTGTTGTACTAACAAACTTCGCGTGTATTGTTTATCAAGTAAAGCATCATACCCAACAGCATTTACCAGCAATGCATGCAACGATTCGCCATCACCATTTGTTTGGTCTGATAGTTGTGCCCATTCAAGTATAGTTGGCACTAAATCCACCAATACTGCGGGCGCATTTATTTCTATACCCTTTGGTATGGTGGGACCACTCATTAACAGTGGTATGCGTATATCAGTGTCATATGGTTGACGTTTATCGAAAGGTTGTGCAAATTGTCCGATATGATACCCATTATCAGATGTGAAGATAATATAAGTGTTATCTAATTTCTTTTGATCAGCTAAAAGTTTCCAAACTGTAGCTACTAGTTCATCAACAGCCAATAAGGTTTCCCAACGTTGTTGAAAGTACGTGTCCATTAATTTGAGCGTTTTTGTTGGTATGAGCTTAGAACTGCCTACCAACCAGTGTTTTTCTAAAGTTCATATAAAATAGTGTTTATTAAAGTTCATATATGTTATGTAAAGAGAAACTATTTACCAAGTGATTCAGAGATGTGATTGAAATTTGGTGTACGTGGCGCTTCAATATTAGCAAAACTATTACGATGACGTTCTGCAGGTATAAAAGGCGCATGTGGTGCAGGTGTGGCGACCATTGCAAAAAATGGTGCACTAACAAGTTCTGGTTTTCCCAAAAACTCCAAGGTTCTACTGCTGAGCAAATCAGTTAAATAAGTGTTCGTGTAACTAACGTTTTGTGCATTTTCACGTAAAGTGTAATTATAATATTTTGAATTGCCATGTAATCCGTGGAAGTCATTCCAACCGGGAGGTACTTTTTCCCCACGATACTCATTGAGATATTTGCCGGCGAAGAATGTGTGATAACCCGCAGTTTGTAATAAAACTGGCAAAGCATGCGGCTCGACATTTTTGAGCCAGTAGTTACCATTGCAACCACCACTTAAAGAATTATTTGTTGTGCGATGATTGTGCGCATATTTTCCTGAGAGTAGACTAGCACGTGATGGACAGCATAACGGCGAACTGGTAAACTAAATAAACAAAATATTATAAATGCATTTAATATAAACGCTAAGTGTGCTTACTGCATTGTTGAATGTTGCACCTTCTTTGCCCAATAGTGCTTGTACTTGCTTCATAGGCATCATTCCACCCAGTGCTACATCCTGATCATCTGTTAATACCAATAGTATGTTCGGCTTTTCTGCGGGCGTAAGTGCCGCACAAATTGGTAAGAAAATTAACAGGAGGCAGTGGAAACTAATATCACAATTCGACATTTTACTTTGAGAATGCCTGAGGCTATTTGAGACATATAAAAATTTCTTTTTGTTTTTTGTTTATTCTTAAATTTATTTGTAACTAAAATTTTAAATGAAATCTCATTGCGAAGCTCATTTTGTTTAATGCAAAAAGTGATTAATCAGTAAACAAAAGCCAAACAGAGAGCCAACAAAATTGCTTCAGTGAAGGTCGCAGTTGAGTTTTAATGGCAAAGAGAATTTGCTAGAGCTGCCAACACTCGAAACTATATTTTAATTATAATGGAAGTGGCATGCAAAATTTAACTAACACAGAATTTAACTAATAACATTAAATAAAATTTAATTTGAACAGGCTTAAGTTAGTTATTAATTAATAACACTAATTTAATGTTAAAATCATTTTCATATATAAAAAAAAATTTTTCCATATATATATTTCGTTCTACTTCGTAGACCATCTTTAGTCTACTTATTAATTAATTATTAAAACTAATAAATTTTTGTTCAAATTGAATATAAACGAACTTAAGATTGGTTATTTAACAATTGAAATTATTAATAAATAACATTTAATAAGTTGTTGTAAGAATTATTGTTTATATAAAAAAAAAATTCAATACAAATATTTGGGACTATTTCGTAGACCATCTTAACTGTACATATAATTAAATATTAAAAGTAATAGCTTTTGTTAAAATTAAAAAATGTACGTGATTCTAAAGTTGATATCAACAGCACAAAAAAAAAACAATTGTTGGATAGGTGTATCTTTTTGTAAAATTATTGAGTTATACGATATTGGTGGTGTAATGGACTAAGCTGCGAAAAAAGAACATTGATTAAAAAAAGATATAATTTTCTCTACTATAAACTGCAAAATTAAGTAACTAAAGAAATTCATTAGATACCCTTTTGCATTGCATATAATAAGGGCCGTGAAAGTACTTTACCTATAAGACCAATAGTAGATCCTGAGGTGAATATTTCACTATAACACCAATATTCAATTAAACAATAATTTAGAAGAATTTCGAATAGCAAAGAAAAGATAGGGAAAAACCTTATTTGTGGTCATAAGAAGCGTAGCTTTCGGTAAAAATAATTAACCTTAAACCAATATAATTCATAACATTATTAAAGGATATTATTGGATTTGCGGCACGAGGCTAAGCGCTGCCTCGTAAGTTAAATATAACTATTAATAAATCCTTTAAAAAAAAATTATTTTAACTATCAGATATCAAGCAAATGAATTTGAATATCTAGCTTCCATATAGTCCATTCGGTTTACTGAAAACGCATTTCAATAGCTTTAAATTTCGAATTGATACAAAGATCTCAATTAAATATGTTCCCCATAAGCAGATAGCTACATGACTTGTGATAGAGAGAAGATTGGTCTCTGCTTCCTATTACAGTCTATGGAATAGTGAAGATGTAATCAAAAATGCTGAGTTGAAAAGCATAAGCTTTAAGCTTAAAAATAAGTTGTACTTTTAATATTATAAAAGGAAACTCCGGATCTCATACAAGGGCGTACCCAAGAACGTGAGCAGAATGTAGATTCAACGATGTTAAATATGAAATAAAATGCATTTATTTCAGTATTAGAGTAAAATAAGATATAAAAATAGAATTATACTTTCCAATTCTCGTTCCCATGCTTCCTAGACGAACTTTAACAGCTTGTGGAAATGTTTTACTCACACATTAAGTAGGATAGATCCATAACCTTATAACTCCAGTAAAACAATATGTTGAACAATTATAATGGGGCCCCCTTTACCCCACGACTCCCTTGACTACGTCCATGGCTTTATATATATTATATGAGAAATTTTTTGTGTTTTATTTAATCTTTTTTTATATTACTACATTTATTGTTGATTATCGTTTTATTTTAAACTTAATTCTAACTTCTTGAGCTCTAGTTCATGCTGAAGTTTTATTTTAATTAATTCCAATTCTTTATTGTCTTCGTTTTCGATATTTTTAAGTTTTAATTCCTCAGCTATTTTTTTCTCTTCCATTTTTAATCTCCTCTCTTCCAAAGCAAAAGTTCTCTCAAATTTTTCTTTTTCAAACTCTAATCTTTTTTCTTCAATGTCTAGCTTTGCTTTTTTATATAATAGACGATCTGTTTCCAACTGTTGTAAATAAGTGAGCTCCGTGTTTATTTTTGGTTTTTGATTCTTTTGTTGAATTTTTATTGGGGAACGAGTAATGTTTACCGGTTTTCTATCCCCAAATATGGCATCTAATTGTTCAAAATATGGGCAAATTTTATTAATCGAGTCTGTAAAAAAACTTGTTTTAGAAAGTCAATGGATCCTAAAAAAGCACAGAAACGCATTGCTGTCAAACATCATGGCGTTTTTATGGGAGACTTATTTCTACACCAGCGTTATCAAACACTACTGTCAACATATATTATATATATATTTTATATATATTATATATATTATATATATATTTTATATATATTATATACATATATTATATATATATATTATATATATATTTTATATATATAACATATATTAGATAACTCCCACAAGCTTTGTAAAAAATTATCAGCGTAGTTATAATAGTTTAACAGTAAAAATGCCATGAGCGTTAAACCATGAGTGTGTTTCTATATTTTAAGGATAAAGGACATTTAAAGGACGAAGGACCTAGCAGTCCAATATCTTATTCTAACTTAACTTTAAAATAAATTTTAATGTGAACTCACGAATAAATAAGTAAAAATAAAATATTTTACATCTTACCCGTGATTGTGCTATCAAATTCTTCTTCTTGCCCATTTTGCTCGCGCCATTCTATGGCTTGTTTATATTTTGCTTTTACATTTTTCATTTTATCCCGCATGGACACCCAACTATATTTCCTTAAACCAACATTGTTTTCTATTATGCTTGTGTAGAATTTAATTGATGTTGGCGTCTGTAAATTGGAAAATACACGTAAAATTTTTATTACATGTCACGCCAGCGCACTTTACCTCAAAAGAATTTGGATCCTTTATTATTCTGTTAATTACTTCTTCTAGCAATAACTCCAGATCCTCTGTGTGCCACCTAATGCCAGAAGAAGTTCTACTGCGTTGTCTTTTAGATTCCATTTTTTTAAATCTAAATTACTAAAACTTGCGCTATAAAAGATATAATACAATATGTCAACAACTTCTTAAACCACTAGCAAAAAATAGCACAATAAACAAATATGTCAAGAACAGCTGATTCGAAACTTCGAATTTAACATTTTAGCAAATTAGCATACCCTGTGGCACATAATATGAATTTAGCATGCTATACTATCGAGTTTAGACAGGGAAAATATCGTCAAACAGAGATAGTTTAATTTTTATTTTTCATATTAAAAGTTACATTCTCTGTATTTCATATTCAATCAAAATTTATAAAAAAAAATTAATAATGAACATTCATATATATATATATAAAGAGAAAATGCGTAGTAATAATAAGATATTATATGTAAAATTAGTTTATGAGAATATTTACGATGGGTTCATTAATTTCACTACTTATTGTTTTTAGTGTTTGAACATTATACCGCTCAAATCATTTCATATAATATTAAAAATAAAAGTTTATTTTTTTAATATCTCAACTTAATTTTTGTTCGAATTGTTTCTGTTGCAGAGTTGCATTTGAATCTTTATATATTTATAAATGCAGTTAGAGTGAATAAAAACTTTCAGAATAATTTTTGTAGGGAAAAAATTTTTATTTAACATTAAAAAACAGGTATAATAATAATTTTTGTAAATGTAGCAGAACAATGAAAAAATAATATTATAAAGACACGTATTACTACATTTTTATTCTGCATATAATATATTCGTCATACAGAGTTGTATTTGTTTATATTATGATGCATTATTTTAAATTTTGGTATATGATGTTAAATATATTTTGAAATATTTTAGTAAATGTTTCACCATTTGTTTAAGAAAGCCACATAAATTACTAAGGGAAACTTCCAAAAGTTTTTTCTATAAATCACTTATAAAATATTTATATATGTGATATTTTTTAATGTTCTACTCATATTGAAACTATGACAAATTATCATGATTAGCGTAAATTTTTTATTTTTCTAGAATATGGTTTAATTTCTCATATTCTTTTCGAACCTTGAATTTTTTATTAATAACACAATTGATAATTAATAACAATTAGACTCGCTATAGCGTATAGGAAAAAATTGCTTAGAAAATGCGAGCTTTACAAAAGTTTGTAAATGAATTTGAAATAATTTTCATGAGTGTGTGGTATGAAATGTAAATATTATAAATAATTAAAATTGATCTTAACAACTTCGAAAAACCACTGGATTGTGTAAATTGTTAATAAAAATCCTTACAAATTATTGGGTTGACACAATACCACAGTAGACCAATACAAGACCAAATGCGTTGGAATAGTGGATAACACAAAAATTATGATTTCCATGTCTAACAAATAGGCTTTTTATTGTAGATGAGATTCATATCAAATGGCAATTGCTTAACAAATGTTTCCATTCACCCTAAATTGATTTTCTTTATTTGTGTTTAGGTTATTTTCCATAAAGAGAATTACATATTTATGTATTTATTTATTTTACGGAATAAACTCTGTGCCATTTACCAGTCTAGGGAAAATAATATCAGTAATGTCAGCAGTCTTAGCTGACTACTCTCAATGTACTACAATTTCATGGAATACACTAGTCCGTGACTGGCTTAATCATGCGCAGGATTAGAGTAATGCAATCATCCAATACATTAGTCACTGTACATTTGTGTTCAGCATTAAATAGATACTGTTTTTAAAACATTAACGTCATAACATTTCGCTTTAATATTTACTACAGAATAATTACTTTATACAAATGCGTTAACTTATTTTACTGCAAAAATTATATACATTACTTGCTGACATTGTTCTCAACTACATACGCTTATTAATAAAACATTATTCGCTTTCCGATTTTTATTTAAAAAAATGGTTTTTGAAGCTATCATATTTGAAGGAAAAAAATTCAACAAAATGATTGAAAAATGAGGACTATTTTTTTGAGTTATTTAAATTACATTGCCACAAATCAAAACCTGATGAATATGCTTTAAAAATTGTTACTAAATTATTTAAAATTATTTATATAAATAAATTTTAATTCTACACAACTCGTTTTACTTCGAAGAAACGTTTGAGATAATAAACTTGTCCAATTGTCATAAGTACTAACACCAGAGCTTCAAAGGTGGACCACAGCACAACACGTGAATTTGTGCTTTCGTTAACGGAACGATGAATTTTGTCACGTACCTACGAATAACAAATTTTTAATATACATTATCTTAAACAAATAAACAATAATAATTATGTTACTAACATGCATATATTCTTGCTCGTGTTTAACACTTGTCAATGTGCCTGATAATTCACGTATCATATCTTCAAGTTTTGTATGGCCAACTTCTTCTTCACCTGGTGCACCCGGTGCACGGTGTGGTGTCTCACCCAAATCAATCGAAAACATAACCACTTTAGGTGTCATACTACTGCGTTCATTGTTAAAGCAAACTTTATACAATCCTGTTACGGGCGCAGCGAATGTATATTTGCCAGATGATTCCTTTTCACTTTGATGTATTATACTCTGATCGGGACCACTAATTTTGATATCAATATCCAGAAAACCACCTTCGATTACTTCAAAAGTAATGCCTACATATATGAAACTTATATTTTATTTGTTTATTAAATATAATTTAATTAACTCACCAAATTTGGTGCCACCTTCAACTTTGTCGAAAAAACATTCTTCATTGTGTGCGTCGACAGTCACTATAAACGCTGCTGTCGTACGTAATAGTAATACTATTGAAAATGTCAGAAGCAATTTTAAATTCATATTAATCAATAATATTTGCAACTAATATATTGTCTTAAATGCAATTGAAAAATAATTTAACAACTGCACAATTTGTTTGTTGAAGCAATAAGCGGCCACGTAAAATAATTTTTGCCAAACGTCAAATATACAAATGTCATATTTTCTCTCTTTCTTATTCTCTCAAATTTCGGGTTTATTAATGACGGTAGTTTGGCAGCACTAAAAACTTTCGTTTGATTTGTTCGAAAATTTTTCGGTAAATAATATTTGAAATAAAATTTGAATTTTGAATGTTGCTTTGTTACACAAATTTATTTTAATTTAATAATATATAAATATATACACTAATAGCATCATAAAACTAAACTGGATGTGCAAATTGTCTTAAGATATTTACTTGAAAAACATGGAAACCAGTATGTAAATATATCTAAGCAGAAATAGTTTTGAAATGTTATTAGCGGTTCGTCTGTAACGGAACTGCGTTATACTGTAAAGTTAATAATAATAATAATAGTAGTATAATATTGTTTCTAATAAAATAGAGTATGGAGAAGTTAACAATATTTATGGTACATAGAATTATCGAAATATTCTAAATAATAAGAAAACTAAATGCAAAATATTATATAAGAAAACTATAAATTGAAACATTAATTCGAAGCATGATCACGTTCCAAATATTAATGTTTATTTGGGTTTTAATTTTTAAAAAAACTGTTAATAGTTGATGTTTGATTTTATAATGAGAATATTTCTAGTAGATTTAGTTGTTTTTGGCTTTTGACTATTGACAAACTCCGAATTGTCGTTGCTTGATTTTATGACAACCTATTTTAAGTAGAAATGATTTATTTCTAAAAACATATTTTCAACAAATAAGTAGTAAAGTGAATGATAAAGTTTTTAATTACTGTTTTTCCCGTATTCAATTTTTTTCCTTTTCATTACTTGTCTGGTTATCTCATCCATTAATTAATTTATTAATCTTTTTTTCTATTTTGAGAAGTTCTGTAACTAGTTTTTTGTTTTATTTTGTTTGCTTGTCGAATTTTCCCACAATGGTAAGAACCTGAATTAGTCTTGACCATTATGAATGATCAATTTAAAATTGTTTTATATATATAATTTCATATAATTACATTATCAATAAATTTATTCAGGTTAAGTAAGGTTATTTTCGCTCATTGTGTTACCATATAAGAATTTAGGTATTTCTTTATAATTTTATTATTTAATAATAATAATAAAAATTTCATAATAATTAATTGCACATTATTTATAATAATTATAAGATTAATTATAATTTTATAATTGCAGATATCACATTAAATAATTTTAAAATAAATCTCCACCACCTTCATTTATTTCTTACTTCTCCTTCTTCATAATTTTGAATTAAAAGTGCTGCCAATAACTTTTGTCAACTGTCATTAGTTGTTTCAGTAGTATTGCAGCTGTCACATTCGTTAAAAGTCGTTACTGCCTACGACAAAGATATATTTTCAACTTTGTACTTTTTTTTACAAATATTTAAACTTCATCAAGTACTAATTAAATTTGAACTGCAAATAAATATTTAGACATTAAAGTGAATTAATAATAAATATTTTATTTGAAAAAATCTTAACATTAACTGCAACTATATTTTATAAAAGCCGTTAAAGTGCGTAAGGCTGAACAAAAAGACAAAAGTCAATCAGCAAATTATTGAGAGCTTATACAACTTTGCCCCTAAAATCCCATAGAAATCAGCTGTGCAGTTGTTTCTTATATACTGCGCACGCGTTAGTTAACTGGAAGTTTAAAATTCTCCAAATTAATTTGATTTAATTCTATGAAAATAGCGACGCATTCCTAGTGTCTTGCATCCAAACAATCAGTCGTGTACATTCATTCATCTCTGTTGGACCGAGCAATGCGATAACGTCGAAGAGAATAATTTTTTTGGCACTGTCATCAGTACAATCAAAGTAAAAGTTGGCAACAACAAATTGTCTGGTTCGTAGCAACAACTAAACAAATAAACAAAATGGCTACTCTACAGTTTCATTTGAATTTGTTTGCACATATAATTAAATAAACAAAGTGTTAACAAATGTTAATATCGAATTTCATTAAAATAATTTTAATATCCTAAATATTTTTGTGGTCACCGCCCCCCTTACGTTATGTTTACTGATGTTTTCAACGTTGCGGTAAATTGTGTGATCCATGAAATTCATTGTGCGTGTTTGTTAGTGTGTGTTACATCAACACCCCCACCCTAAAGGATAACAGCAGATACAAACAAAATTGATTCCAATTGCGACGACTG